TAAAGAAGAGATATACTTGCTCGGCTAATGTCGGGGTAATGATAGTTCAGCGCTTAGAAAATTAATGAGTATTAAGCGCGATGAAATGTTACTATTAGTATTATTATTATTATTATCATTATTATTGTTATTGTTATTATCATTATCATTATATCATCATAGAGAACAGCGAATATTTCTGACGAGAAAATAATAATATCGGGGAGGGGAGAATATAGCGATAGCATAATCAGAGAGGAATATAAAAAGAGACATACATACATGTTATACACACCCGCACACGCACACACGAACACTCGCGCACGCTGAATTGTAAGGTAAGGGATATGAACATCATGGCGGAGGCTCCAAATCACGTGACCTCTATTAGCCTTTTTGATTGGAAGGTGTCATACAGCCAACGTAACGCGTCTGACATCTCTCACCTGCGTCGATCGAACAGTGACATATTCCAAGCGCCATAATGCTAGGTCATGTGACGCGATTATGATTCGATTAAGCTGGAAGTAGTACGAGGATCATGACCTTTCTCAAGAAACTATTTAAAGGGCCGCGGTTGTTTAAAGACAGTGGGTCTGTCTTTCTTTTGTTTTCGTTTAAAGACGAAATGCATTTAATGCAAGAACCAGGGGCAATGTTAAAACATGTTGAAAAGAGAAGTTGGGCGATAAGAAACAACAGAACAACAGAAAATAGTTTCCCAAAAAGGAGGCTAATTAGTTGAAATTGCTGAGGAGGGTAAAAGAAATTATCACGAATATGATCAAATTTACCTACAACAATTTAATATTGTTAGTCATGTCGGGAATTATTCCCCTCCCCCCCCCCCCCCCCCACAAAAAAAATAGTTTGTCTGGATTTCTGCTAGCATATTCCAAAGAAAATGTTTATCTCCGGAAAATAGTTTTAAGCCCCCCCCCCTTCCTCTTATAATAGAGGTCTGGCACGAATTCCGAAATCACATCCCCAGGAAATGTTATGTCGAGGAAAACACCCCTCTCCCACGAATACCCATCTGAAAAATACTGGACCCACCCCTGCCTTCATTCTCTTATTTCATACTTCCTTAATTACTTTGGTTAATCAACATAAATCGTTTCCTCCTTCTTTGTTATTTTTTCTCCCTTTTTCTTACAGTCTTCTTCTGGATCAATATCTTTCTCGTGTCATTCTCTCACTTTCAGTCTGCACATATCATTTTTATCATTTTTGCTTGATTCTACACAACATTGCATCTATTGATGTTGCATATGATTCCTGAGTGACTCGGTGGTAATGTTCAATTATCGTACTAGACATAAAGGTATTACAAAGTTTTGGGAAATTTTGAAAAATGGGTGGATAGTGAATCTTTACAGTTTTCATATATTTGGATGCCCCTGTGGATGAATTAAAAGCACTAGAAATTTTAGCCCCTAAAACACTTCTGCTTTCGAGAAAAATTGAATATAAAGATTTACCGGTGCTCCCGGTAAATTTTATTAAATTTCAAATAGCTCCTACTGCCGTACAATGGTAGCTGCGACCATGAAAATCTCAGAATATGTAGTTGTGGTATATAATTTCCGAACGGGAATAGCTAATCGGTCGATTTTAGTCAAGACACATTGTTTTGTAGCTTAATTAATATCTTGACCTTGAGAGGAAGCTATACAACATAATGTGTTTATTATTTATGATTTCATAACTTTAGAGTCGATTTCGACCGCGACAACGATCAGTAAATATTGTAAGATCGCATATGCTTCCAATATGTTCACTTGAACCAAATTCACGACCCCATACCAAAACTTTGTATTACCTTTAACTCTCTTCTATATACACAAATAGCTGAAATATGATATGCAATATTCTTTATAGTTCTTCCTCAATGTAAACTTGGATAAATCGACTATACACATATACTTATTTTGACAGTCATTTGATATGCATAATGCGATATCCGTAATATGCATCAAAAAGGCTACCTCCATCCGTATACTTTACTTAGCTTCAAAGTATATGTCAGATAAAATGAATGGGTCTATTCTACTTTTCACTGCCTTCTTAATTCTTATTACAAATCAACACTTTCTCCCGTTCCTAAACGCTGGTTCATTTGTTCAAAATGTAGGGATTTTTTCTGAAACATTCAAAGCCAAACAATTTAGTTTAACAACTTTCATGACCATGTTAAAATATTAGATTATACCATGTCATAGATGTCATATCAATCATAACCTGGATAATGTTGTCAATCTTTTAACAACACAAATGCTTCACAATGGCATATAGAGTTGCTTAAAATGCGCTACTTGTCTTCTTGCCTTGGGTGCGGAGATATTGCATTAACAGTGGATGAACTCATGAGATCTTGGATACCCTAAAACCATTTGAGAATCATTGTTTCCGTAGAAAGTTATGGACGGGTTTTAGAAAAATGAATGTACAAAAAGCAAAATGTAAAAAATGTGCTGAGAAAATAACCTGCATGCATATTTTTCTGTGAATATAAGGAAAATTCAATTTGAAGATTCTGAAAATCATTATTGATAGCACATTGAATTAGTCTCAAACTCTTTACTAGAAACTCTTTAGTGGATCGAATAACTTCAGGTATAGAAGCCTCTCAACGCTCTTTATTCAAATAGATAAGGAGGAGTAAATTCCATTTAATTTTCATAACAGCTAGAGAGCTAGTCAGCTACAATTATCCTCAACATATTTTGCAAATTCATGTTGAAAAATCAGGCAAAAAGTTTCTGGAAAACAAGATTATAAAATGGATTTTGACGACTTTTTTTTACATTTCTCCTCGAGAAGTGATGATAAATTTTCCTTTGTGAACATGATTTTTCCTTTACTAAACGTTTATCATCTTACTAAAAATTGTCAGTGATTAGTTTCTTTACACTTTAAGAAAAATGTATGCACATTGCAACTTCTTTCACGCCCTTTCAAAGATTGTTAAGTAGTGCCTTTAATATTATTTTACAGAATTCGCTGGGAGTGTCGCCTTGCACGATTCAATTACATTCAGCCAATTTGTGATAATCGACGTAATAATTTCAATATTAACACATACTGATGCTCGTGGCAATTGCCAATCCACAGCCTCAATCTCACACAAAACAATTCAGGGGGATTGAGACGTTATGGTGATTTAATGGTGTTCTCTCACCCCCCCCCCCCCCTTCCCCCTCTCCCCCCCCCCTCTCTCTCTCTCTCTCTCTCTCTTTCTCTCTCATTTGACTCAGTAACAATGACCGATATAATGTCGACGTGTTTTTACAAACCAGGTTTGTAAAAAAAAGCGTCAAAACGCGTCATATGACATACATAAACTTAGGTTTGTCGACAAATCTCCGTTGTGAATTCGGGCTAAAGAGTGTAATATTATGTCATGTGATTCTTCCTCAAAGTGTAACAAAATCTCTGCCTCTCTCTCCTCTCTCTGCACTCATTTTACCCACAAACACACGCACGCACACGCACGCGCGCGCACACACGCACTCACAGACACACGCACACACCCGCACCCTCTCTCTCTCTCTCTCTCTCTCTCTCTCTCAATCTCATCCTCCCAACACCTGTCCAATCCCTCCCCTCTAACCTCCCCATCTCCTCTCTCTCTCTGTCTCTCTCTCTCTCATCCTCCTCCCCACCCCTCTCCATGATCCCATCTCTTTGGTGTAGGAGCACAGAGGACGCATCCCGGACCTCTTTCACTTTTAGGCGTGGCGTAGTAGGGTGCTCCCAACCCAACTCTCTGCTTTAAATGAAACCACATCATACGAGGAAAGAAGACTGCAAGCATAGTTCAGTCTCTTGGTTGATCAGACATGCAGAGCAAGTTATTATTATTTATGTAGACAAGTGCATGGCCCACTTACCCAGAAATGATGGTGTAAAGTAATCATGCATGGTAATTAATAGCTATTTCCTGGTGTAGGATTCGTATTCTTAGGAAATAAGCGATGCATACATTTGTTCATTGCCTTATATAAGGTCGGAGATTTCTTTGACTGAAGAGATCTCGTAGCAATCAAATTTGGGAAGTGAAGAAACAAATCCTAGAAGCATTGAAATAAAACAAAACTAACATACAGTGTTTATTATTTTTTCTTTATAATTCTTAGCATCCTTGATTATTCGGACCTAACTAGTGACTAAAATAATTGTTGAAGACATTATTGTTAGAGAGAAATTGTGTCCTTCTTTACAGAAATAAAGTGAAGATTTTCACTTTAAGAGTCAGCATGGTCAGAATGAAAGTGTTTGCTGAACTCAGGCAAAGTATTCGTATTAACACCTGGGTAATTAAATTAAATGGTTTAAAAACAATACTTTGGGGAAATTATTTTCTGTGAAACGTTTTACATTGTAGGTTACATTTCTATCAATATATGGATAAATAGAAATTATGCCTCGTTCTACCTTTTAGAGTGTTGTTTCTTTAAAGGTGATTTGTCTATGTCTGCACCGCAGTGTTGTGTAGCAGGATTACTTTTTTTTTTTACTACTGCAAACCATCAAAAGGTTTGCCATTTGGCTTTGTATTATTATTTTGATCCTGCAACATTAGAGTAGTCAACTATGTAAACGGAAAATATTTTCCCTTCAGAAGATGACATTTCTCTGTATGATATAAAACGAGGTCAATTGTGTATATGAAACCAAAAGTTTAAAGTTTAAGCAGGGCTTTACATCAAAATAATTTTCAACATGTTAAGTACAAAATAGCGTAATTTTTCAGACTTCTTTCATCATCTTAAAGTTTTTAGATGAATGAAAATCGTCAAAAAATATTTATCGTGGACGTTTAACAATAATTTGGGGCAACCCTAACTCCTCACAAGGTAATAAATGAATAATTGCCTTCACGTTATTTCAAATGAAATGGAAATTTAATTGCACTTGAATTATCATTTCCATTTGCAAACGTCACGTGACGAAAGAGATGAACGAAAAGTGTTCCTATTAATTCATAGTTCATCCTTCGTTGCGGAGGCAGGTATAAGGTGACGAGAATGGTATCGCATCTTGGATAGAGTAAATCGTGCACATGTACAATTTTTATGTCATCTAGGTTGGTACATTTATCTTTCGATTCTAGAAAAATATACTGGTTGTAAGGCCAGTTCCACTTGCGCCTTTTACCAGGAGAGTTGGTCGAAAAAAGTTGTCAAGTTCGCGGGATTTCCCCCGACTGAATAACAACGAAGGGAGGTGTGTGGTTCGATGGAACTATTTATAGTGAACTAACTTCTTAGTGATACCAAATAATTACTGGAGAGTCTGTTTAGAGTCTACTTGTTAGTCTCGAAGGGGAGTTGATTATGGTTAAATATGAAATGTCAACATCCTGTCCATCCGGTATTCTTCTTCCTGGACTAGTTTAGATCAAGTGCAGTAGATCAGACTGGTTCGCCTCGGCGTAGAGATTGAGTGAGGGTATATAGTGGTTGGTTGATGTTTATGGGTGAGAAGACAGGGTGAGAGTACAACACAGCGGTAACCCATGACAACCAGCTGCTCATACCGCTCAAGACTTGGCAGCCATGTTGGGTGTCAGCGGGTAACCATCGTACGCTTGGCCTTGGGGTCGCTCTCCCTAGCTGTGATGTAGAGTCGTGTATGCGAGCATGTATACGTAGGCAGCCATCTCGAGAGTGAGAGTTATTTTTTTTCTTGACCTGGTCGTCGGGAGTATACGTCGCACTCCCCAGCCCAACATCCATGCTGGTATCCTGCAACCTTATCCCTTACCCTTGGATGCTTGTGTGACGACGACTCGGGTGTTCTCCCGCCATGGAAGCAGCACCTACGCCACTTGAAACGGTGGGATCGGAATTAGACACGGCCATGAGCGTAGGGGAGTCAGATATCAACCTCAACTCAGCCGGTGATACTTCCAGCACCACGGACTCCAACGCTGGGATATCATTACCCGTGCCCACCAGCTTGCTATCGAATGTAGAGAACTTAACATGTAGTAAAAGCAAGGAAGTGGAATGCATGAACTCGCAATTGAGCGTCCAGCACGGTATTATCTCGGGCGGTGCCGGGACGGGCGGGCCCGGCATCCTTTCCTTTTCCGCCCAACAAGTCGTTTGCGTCTGCGAGGCGTTGCGACAAGAAGGCAATATCGACAGATTAGCGCGATTTCTTTGGACGTTACCGGCTGACGAGACGCTGCAAAATGACGAGACGGTGTTGCGAGCACGCGCCGCGGTGGCATACCACCAGGGCCACTACAAGGAACTCTACAACCTCCTCCAAAACCATAACTTTAACCCTGCCTTCCATACAGAACTCCAGGACTTGTGGTACCAGGCCCACTACAAGGAGTCGGAAAAGTTACGTGGTAGGCCACTGGGTGCCGTGGACAAGTACCGCATTAGGAGAAAGCACCCACTCCCAAGGACCATCTGGGATGGGGAAGAAATGGCCTACTGCTTCAAGGAGAAATCGAGAAATATGCTGAAAGAATGCTACAAACAGAACAGGTACCCCACCCCTGACGAGAAGAGGAATCTGGCTAAGGTGACAGGACTCACCATGACTCAAATTAGTAACTGGTTCAAGAACAGACGCCAGAGAGACAAGTTACCCATGTCACTCAAAGGGTAAGTTCAAATTCGCATTTATAAAGCGAAATAACAATCAATGACGAACTCGTCACCTTCATTTCCTGTGCAAATAAATCACCTTGACTCAAATTCATTCGTCATCCGGAGGTTTTAGCGGCAAATAAAAAAAGATGAGGTAAGACCCAAACTAAGGAAAGTCATCAAAGACGCCAAAATGATCATTATTTGGCATACTTGTTTCATGTCAAGCTATTGTCCCCCTGGCTTACACATCGCTGAAGTAATGAATTTGAAACGAAATGCCTGTCGGACAAGATAAATGTTCAGGTAACAACAAAAATCCTCCAGCTCTATTATAGCTCTTACAGTTAAAAATAAAGGTTATTTAACTTATACTATTTCGCTTAGCTCGCAATAGTAATTTGGGAAATAGTTATCAGTCATTTTGAAATTAAGAACTTGACATGTTTTCGCTTCTTGAAGCAACCTCAAATAAGGAAACTATATTCTTTGAATTGCTTAATTGTGCTGAAATCTTCACATTTATGCCAAACCTAGACTTATTTAAGAATCGATGTAAACATTCATCATGACTGTCAATCAAGTTTCATTCAAAGTAAATATGACGATAAATGAATTAAAAAATTAACTATAGTTTACAGGCCACCTTTTTAATCAAAGAATCGAAAATATAATCATGTTATAAATGGGAAGGGCATCATAGCAAATTTTCAGTAGGAAATAGTAATATTTAATCTTTAAGAAATTAATACATTCTTGAAATGAAGAAAATATCGTCGGATACATTCATGTTGTGGCGTCACTTGCAACAGGAACAGACGGTCCCTTTTTGCGTTTGCATGATCATACTCGCATCTAAACTGCTTGGAAATATGACGGTGACGAGAAGATTTGACACTAAGCAGATGATATAAATCTGTAACGTGGGGTAAATACCTGGCTAATATGAGTATGTTGAGTGAAGATATCAAGAATTGTTATTCTTCTCATAGAGAAAAGTTAATGGTTGACATGGTTATCGTTTCAACAAACAAGGAATGAAATGATTGAAACACACGTCTCGTATAAATCAGACTGTTTACTTCTTGTTCATATGAAAGGAGATTATGAAAGTGACCGACTTTCTTATCTAAATATGAATGAGGTTATACCTGCGATGCATGGGGTCAAAAGAACTCTGAAATTGAGATTGATACTAACCAAATATTTGGCTTGAATTTTCAAAATCATTTCAGTTGCTGTGGTAGAGATTTATGCAGCCTTTTCAACTTTCTTACAAATATGTTCAACTAAAATTCCAAATACCTTTACAATTACAAAAGTACATATTAGACAGTATTCCTCATGCATGCGGTTATGTTTGCCATAATATCTCAATGTTAGTGCTTCAACGCTTTAATGACAGAAAAGAAACATATTTGATAGTCAAAATGATCAAAATTATTACAGAGGTTTCATATGCTGTAATTCCTGTGAACATTATGAAATGCAAACAAATGTTGAAAACATGTGGTAAATTGAAAGTAACTGTAATTTCTAATCAATTCAAGACTAGAATTTGTCCAAGATTCGTTTAGAAATAGGCTCTTATTATATAAAATTCGTGTAATGAGTTGCATTGTCTATTTTGTAACTGGATTGTATCTAGCATACATTGATGACAAAATTACATTTCCACTATGATAAAGTTTCAGCAGTTGTGCTCCCTCGCTTCAGTCACTCGCAAAAACTAGAAAGCTGATGTTCATGTGACGTCAGCCTGTCAGACCCCTCTTGAATTGTCCTCCATATACGCCTTTCTATTTGTATGGAAATGAATCAGACAGTTTCGAAGTTTTGACCACGGAGATAATACATTTCCTTGGTTAGCACATGTAAAAAACATATTGCACTGATTTATAGTATCATACGTTCTTGTAACTTATAGCATTATATTGTGTAGCCTAACAAATCAATCTTGACCACTTTGTTTACGTTTTTTGAAAAAGGTTTAAATCTCAAAATCTCAAATCTTCAAAATTGATAAATGTATGAAAACAGCCCTATAAAGTCATGAAATAACATGAAATAGTTGTAAGAGAGATGATACAAAAACGTTTTCTGTAGTGGATTTAAATACCTCCTCCCCGATCAAATATGATAAGAAGGAGATATATCTGTAAATTATTGGAGTCGTATTTTCAAATATAAGGTATGAATAAATCATGTGTAAAATAGTAAGTATGAGTGAGTATGAGCAAAATATGAAAAGTGAATCCTGAATGCTCACCTCCATGCACCTAAACACAAAAGACACAAAAGACACAAAAGACACATTCGCAAGCGATCATCATACAATGAATGTATGCGCAAGACTGGTATACAATCTGCATAATATGAAAAGGTCACAAATTCTACTTTGGCAATATGCTTGTAAGATGGTATTTAAATAGTCCGCGGGTAAATTTGGTGCACATATTGTGTGCGTGCTTATGATTACGGTAAATATAATAATGGACCAATAAATCCAACGAAAGGATATACATGTAATAATTGACTTGAAAAATAATATACCGGAGACCTGGTTTGCTCAAGCACAATTCTTTCATTGCGAGCTGAGGAGGTGGAGGAGGCACATGGGTTCTATGTCAAACTCCAATGAGATGACATCGGAGACAGTTAACATTATTCTATGACAGTATCAAGAATCACCCAACAGCTTTCCAGTAATGTGAGATGATCAAAACAGGGTCCTCTTTCAGATATACCTTTTAGGTATATGTCGTCTGCCATTAAGGAGTATGGTTGCATGTCTACATTGCTCACGTTTTCTCTTTGAAACTACATTGTTATTTTTTTAATTAGTCCTGTTATATATATATATATATATATATATATATTATTACTATTACTCATTAATTTGCATTTTCTTAGATAACAGCAACAATATCAGCATATAAAATGGTGGGATGCTCTTAAAAGGTGCATACGACCAAGGGCACATAGTATATTTTCCCAATTTTTACTTACAAATCTAAGTGTATAGAGCGAAATATAATTAACAGTGAAATGGTGTATAAGCTGACACTTGTAAACGATTAAACGCTCCTGCGTTTGTGTTAGTTATAAAAGTAATGGAATCGAATTGGAAAACAATACATCCTTTATCATTTTTTAGATTAGAATCACACAAAATGAAATGGAGTAATTTAAGGGGCTTGTTGTCATATCAAAATTCAAATTTTTAACATGTGAAAATATGTTTCTGCCTCGCGACACTCGTATAAAATTAAGTAGCATAAATGCATATTAGTAGACTAACAAAGCAAAAGACGACAATTGCATAAATTAGAAGAGAAAGTACTAAGACTCACAAGAATATACACGTACATATAGAAATGAAAAGAAATCCATTGCAAGAGAAAATGTGAAAGCAATGAATGTAATTAAGATTGAAAGTAATAAGAAAGTTTACCAAATATTGTATATTAAAAAAACGATAAAGAGAGCTATAAAAGATAAAAGGTCATTTTTTTAAATGAATATTCAAAGTGCAATGACACCAGATTGGGCGGGTGAGGTAAGTAAATATGATTGACTACACACGTATTTGATATGCCAAAATTCCTGCACGTCATAAAGGGTCATCTCGATTAGCCTTCAACTTGAAGAGATTTTCTATCCAGATATGTTATTCTAATTTCTAAATGGATCAGAAAGTTGAGAATCCAGACACCATGCATAATCCTTCGTTTACTGTTAAAGATAAAATACAATATGTCATTGAAGCTTTGGACCACTTGGATCAATTATGATATCAACGTGATAAAATCTTGCAAATTTCCTTTAGTTGTCCAATTTGTCAATTATTGTAAGATTTTCGTTGGTAATGTTTTGATATTATGATCATTGACAAACTACCTTTCCATTTGTTGATATGATTGTTTATGACACAAATTTTAAAAGATTCTCGATCTCATAGAGAATGTTATTTTATTTATTTTTCTTTTCTGTGATATGCAGTTCGGCAAAATATATATTATTATAACGAGGCCTGACACATTATGTATGATTTCCTACTAGTACGTCTTATAATAAACGCTGTTTATACAATAATATTTCTCACATTTATTGCCTATATTCTGTGATTTTTTTGATATTTTAGACCACCCTATGGCTTTCCTTCCGTTAGGTGTAGTGATTTTTCCTCTTCTTCTTTTCCTTCCAATGAAACATGAGTATCTACTATCGACAGTATCTCCATTCGCGACATGGTTCCTTTACCAGCCTTTGTGTTAGATTAAGATAAGACATTAAACAATGATTTCAAGATTTTGTCATGATTTGAAGTTTGCCTTTAAAGGTACTCAGTTCCATTCGCAGGCCAAACAAATGAAAAGGTTAAATTGCAACGTCATTTGAAAGATAATACAAATTTAGAACTTCCTCAAAACGAAAGGGCTTGAAAAAAATAACAACCATTAGTTGTCGAATCGACATTAGTGATTGCAATCTATTTAGTAATAGTCTGATTTTTAGACCCTTGTACTGAAATGTCGTACGTTTTGTGCTGCGCAAAGATTCAATCAGTTTAATTTTGGCCATTACAAGAATTGGGTTATTGATGTAGACAAATTCTCATGTACCCTTTTCAGCTCATTTTATGTATGTTATTACCAAAGAAAAGAAAAAAGTCAATCAGTCACTGACTCAATAGTGTCTGACAGTGGAGTCTAGAAAGTAAACGGGTTTCCTTCCATTATGTAAATATATTACAACACTGCTAACGTTTAAATTTAACAGATAAGACATAATGTGATATATTCATAATTCCTGCAAAGTTCTACAGACGTTGATGTTGGCTGCAAATGGGACATAGTACCTTTAAGTAAAGACTGAAGGCTTTCATCTTGCACTTCAGTCTTGAGTATTCATTACTATGCTCCAATTTCGTAAAACAAATAATCTCTTAAAGTTTGAATAACGTGCAATTTATGCAGGAAATCACTTTAAGTTATCAAATGAGTTATGATGAT